AATCTTTGGATATGGAAGCAACAAAGAGAATCAACTTTTTGGTTTTCAAGTGAATACAGAATAGAATTAATAAACGAATGCTGTATTAATTGCGTACACTTCACATGTTTCAAAACGTAATTATAATACTCTCTTACGAAAAAAGAAAAAAAAAAACCTAAAATCTAAAAAACTTGATTTCATTCATATCACATTAATCCTATACTACAGTTCAACATATAACATATGTATGTGGAATCATCATACTCTGTACACGTATATACCAAGAATCAAAACCTACTCATATGCCTATATATACATACATTAAATATGTATGAGATTGTGTAAATTTATTACATATATATACATACCTTGCTTTGAGTGCGTTTGTTCTGGAACCAGAACTTGACCTGAACAGGGTCCAATCCCAATTGAACGCTAAGTGCGTTCCTTTGATTGTCATCTGGGTGAGGACACTCTCTGAAGAAACTATATATTCAACAACAAAAAAAAAAAAAAGAGATGTGAATATTATAGAGTAATTTAATTATTGATCTAGCTAGATAGAAGCTAAGTTATTTAAAGAAATGAATAAAATTTACGATTCCAACTCCTGAATCTGAATTTGGCTGTGACGATGGTATCTTTTTTTCTTAGGAGGAGGAGCTTGGTTGTTTCGCAACCCTTCTCCATGATTGCCACTTGAGGTATTCCCACTTTCGAGTTCTTGATCTCCAGAATGATTTCCAGCATTAGTGTTGTCAGCTCCACCATTGTTGTTGCTAACGTTGTTGTTTTCGTTGTTATCACCATCTCCGTTGTTAACCACTGGTACCATGTTTGACTGAGACATTTTTGCTGTTTGTTTTGGTCTTTGGGATTCTGAAAGATCTGAGAGTTGAAAACAATCATGAGTTACTTCACAAATTAGAGAGATATAAAATGATAAGAACTCATAAGATCTAGAAATTAGGGTTTGTGAAAAAGGTTTTGTTTTCCTTTGTTCTTGAGTACAAGAATCAAAAAGGATTTTTTATCCAAGATTGGGATTTTTGCACAGTCAGACACAACAGTACACTCTCTTTCACTAAATTCCAGACAACAAAAAGTTTGCTTTTCGAAGTCAACCCACTTTTTTAACTTTTATCTAGAAGATCTTATAAATAAAAGAGAAACAGACAAAATAAAAAACTAGACAAAGTAATTGAGGATGATAGTTGGAATCAAAAGACCCACCAGTACCGATTAACAAATAAACGCAAACAAAATGAATTTTATATAGACTATTAAATTAACCCCAAAAATATTTTGCAAAGGACATGAATTAATAAAAAAGCCCTAACTTTATGAACTCTCCGAGACTAGTTTAAAAGTCAGAGTATGGGATCTAGGCAAAAAAAAGTTTTTAGATGTTTGTTTTAATTGATTTTTTATTCGAGGGTTTCACAATTTGTAGAGATCTAAATATAGAACAAGGAGGGAATAGAGAGGAAAAGAATACAAAAAGAGAATTGTTGGATTCATTTGCCCAAAACAAATAAAATGACCATATATAAGTAGATCGAAGATATAATTAAATTTATTTTGATTTTAATCAAAACAATATTGTAAAAAATTAATTGATAGATTTAAAATTGGTTTTGTAAAAAAGATCTACCACTCAACATTTATTTTTTCCCTTCAGAAAAATTATCAATTTTTGGATAGAGAAAGAGACACAAAAAAAAACATGGTATATATGAGTCAGAGTACTATATGTATATGTACCGACCAAGCAGCAACTAATAATTGTGTGCGATGTAATAAATTTTCCCACTATTTTGTTATCATCTTTGTATTTTGTTGGATATAAATTATATAATCGGGGATGCATAATTTAGAACATAAACATAAAATACAAAGGATAACGAAGATAATCCAACAGTACCTTTTGAAGTTTTGGCTGTGATAAAATCAGAAAAATCAAATCTTTTTATGTTTATTGTTCCGTTGCTAGCTTGATCTATCACTCCATCTTTGGCTCACTCTTTTTCTACAAACGAAAACAAAAAAAGTTAAACAAAATTCGGTCCCAATAGCAAGATATACAAGAATCAGTTCATCATTTGATGTATATGATAGATACAACAAAGATGGTACTGATAACTCGATACTTTTACCATATAAAAAGGGAATTGTGCAACGAAATTTAATCAAATGAAAAGGGTTGAGATCCATGATATATTTGAGATTAATTAATGAGCAGTGAAAAATAATGAATGGTAGGCATATTACATTGTCGATGAAATATGGGAGTAACTCTTGGATAGTATCGAAAGGAAATAGGTTTTGTCGGGAAACAGCTTATGGTTTTAGGAAGCGGTTTTGAGGTAAGTGAAAGTGCTGAGAGTGCGAGTGAATTTAGGGGTTTATAGACACATATTTATAGGTAGAGAGGGAGACACTTACTTAACCCTACACGCTCGAAGGAGAGAGAGAGAAAGCTACACGTTAAAATGATAAATAATAAAAAAAAAGTGGAGAAGATGCTTCTATCTCTTCATCTATGTGTCATAATACAATTGGTTTTCCAAATACGCTTATGGTATTATTACATAATTTTAACTAAATAAATAAATAAAAAAACTAAATTAAGTTTTCTCCATTAAAAGAGAAATATAATAAAATTTAGACTTAATGCCATTGAAATATTTTTAACCATTTTTGGTATATTTAGCTTTAGTCATTTTTGAAATTCTAATTAGAGAAACAAAGATTTCTATAAAAAAATTATGCTTATATGGTATGAGCCTAGGAGAAATAATGTAAAATTATTTAAATTTTAAGATTTGAATTCATAGTGAAATGGACCATGAATAGTTTAGGAAAGACTAAAATAAAATAAAAACTTTGCAACTTATTATCATAGAAAAAAATTCAAGTATGATTAGTTGTTTTGATAATGATGACAATAAATTAATATTTGAATGTTAGAAGATTCATAATATAATCGATCGATTCAATAACAATATTTATAGATATGAGATGTACGGAATGAATTACAGAAACTACAAAGCGCTTTTATTGACCCTATCGATTGTTTATAAAGATACAAAGGTGAACAAAATAAGAAAGAAAATAAAATATCTATGATAGCATCAGGCCCGGCTCACTCATCGGCAAGACCCGGTGCCATACAAAAAAAAAATTCTATCTTTAATAAAAAAATTTGGATATATTTCATAAACTATTTTGTATTTTATAGCTATTTGGACCTATTGTTTTTGTTTATTAATTTTGGGCTTCAATATTACCTTTTAAAATAGAATTTTGGGACCTTTACATATAGATATTTTATAAAATTTCAGCATAATTAAATAGTTAAATAATAAAAAAACTATTAATTTGGACCTTAAATTTGTTGGACCCAGTGCAAATGCACCAGTTGAACATGCATATAACCGGCCCTGGATAGCATTATTGAATAGATCGATCGTGCATAACAAAAAAAAAAAGCCGGCGGACAAAAAAGAACATAAAGTCGGCGGAACAGTAAAATAAACAAAAAATCCATAGTATTATTATTGACTCGATCGATCGTTAATATTTATTAAATATATTCAAATCTCAATTTATAATAATTGGTAAAATTTATTTAAGTAACTTTAATAGCTAGTCAATGCATTATCCAATATCCTTGAACATAGTTAGTCATTGGTCAATTATTTTTCTATCAATAATGTGTAATATACATGTTTAAATATGGATAGTGACGTAACGAGTGACACTAGATAAAACATAAGAACCAAGGTACAATTTCTAGTCGTCGGTCATACAATTATTTTTACTATTTTACCATCTTAAATAAGTTTGACCAAAAAATTAATCATAATAGTCAAACTTAAAACAAATATTTAAATTTATAATCAAAAATGAAATTTAGTTTATATTTGAAATATCATATCATTCAAATTATTCATACTTTTAAAAATAATTTAACATAATTGGTTCTATTATCTGGTAATCTAAAATTTAACATAATATCATATCATTCAAAACTTCTAGTTCACGATATTTCTCATACTTCAGATACAATATAAGTTTATTATTTAAGTAAAAATCAAATTTAAATCCTAAATTTATATAGACTATTGTGAAAAGTGTGAGCAGCTGGTTGAATATAAAAAATCTCTTTTTTTTGTTTTTATCGAATGTGTCACTAAACCCAACTCGTGAAATAGTGAATTCTGCAAACCAGGTTAAGAAATGAAATGGGTCCAATGGTAACGGAAAGCAAGTTACCTATTTTGACTGCTAAACAGTTTGTGGCCCTAACATTTAACCATTTTGGTTACAGTCAAATTTTGGTTTTGTTTCTTTACACTAATTTCCCTCTATTACACTATAGTCTGTCGTTTGTAGTTTTATCATGCACCTTCACGGAATAAGCATGCTTGCCTGTACACGTTTCATATGTAGACGTTTTTTTGGTTCTTTTTGACGTTTATATGTTTTTACGGTTTCATGTACTCATTGCAATTCCAAATTTCTAGATTTACACCTTTCAATTGTTAACGTCCTTACCCTTTTTAACATATAAATCCAAAAGTAGCTTTTATTAATTATATTTTTTCCCTTATATAATTGTTTATTTAAAATAAATATGACGTAGGCAAACCTGACGTAGGCAAACAGACAAAACATGTAGCAGATTTTGCCGTTACTTTTTCAACTGTTCAAAATGGCTAACTATGATTTGTAGAAATTTTGGATATATTTACAATTTCAACTGTTCCTATGTTACAATATACTAGTTTAGAGAAATTGCTAAAAATATTCCTTTTGGTGTGCCCCTTTTAAAAAAATATCTCTTTTAGATGTCCATTTTCAAAAATGTCCTTTTTTAAATCTGAAATTTTTATAAAGTTTTATTAGGTTTATAAGGTACTTATGGATTGTAACTACTACTTGAAGACTCGATCCAAGTTTATAAGATGTTTTTAAAGGTTTTACAAGTTATTTTAAAGGATTTTTAAGGTTTTTCAAAGGTTTTACAAGATATTTTAAAAGTTTTTAAAGGTATTTAAAATGCATTTATAAGGTATTTATAAAGTATTTATAAGATTTTAGATACATAGAAATGTAGTTTGTGTATGTTTTAATAATATTACATACATATTTGGGTAAATCTTATATTTTTAAGAGCATTTTTTATAAGGTTTTAAAAAGGGTATTTTTAAAAAGTGGCATTGAAAAAGTGGCATTTTTGCAAAAGCCCCTATAGTTTAACCAATTAATTAGTTTTGAGGATTTTGAATAGGTCTCATCCAAAACTCACACTCACTAGCTACAACATAAAATTATATGGCCTCTAATCTAAATTTGCACTCTCATTTTCATTTAGAAAGCATCACTCTTATCATTCTAATTTTATTTTTTGTTAGAAAATATTGTCTAAAAAAATACAAATTATATATATCCAAGCTGCACTAGAATTACTGTAAAACTTTGATTAGAGAATATGTTCAAGTCATCATGTTTAAGACCGAGCATTATATAAATTATTACACTTTGTTAACAATGAATTAATTCAACGGCATACATATTAGTGATCGAACCTTAAACCCACTAGATAGGTAAACCCACTAGATAGAGGTATATCATATCCACTATGTACATTTAATTAAGTATGTTCGAGTAACGAGTGTAATATTGTAATATATACACAGCTTCCTTGTTACATATTGAATATTTGATGGCTTAAGTTAAAACAACCGGGGTAACCAATAATAGATATTGAAATTTAATTAATGGCAAAAAATGATTATCTCTTAATTAACATCATGAGGGTAAAGACCCAAGACGAAGCTTAAAAATCGCCGGTTCGAATGACGCTTGGGACAAAACTAATATTACATGCTGTAGTTTCGGACCTGAGAATTACGGGCTTCTACCCAGAATCTCATGATATTAAAAAAAAAAAAAAAAAAACATCATGAGCGTAGGTCTTAATAAGCCCCCTGGCATCAAAGGTGAATAAAAGCCTCTAATAAATATGGAGAAGAGTCCATTAATAATAAGCCCAAGTCATAAACTCATCGCGACTTTGTTAATGTGGAAGGCGCAACAGTGTGCTGGAGTATCATTTACAAATATAGTAGAAACGATCAATGGTTGTTAGACAAAATTTTATAAGTATATTTTTCTGTTTGTTTGGATAAATTTGTTACGTGGATTACATACAAAAACCAGAGTGATTACCCTAATTATGTTTCTTTTTAGTAAAATCTTTAGATATACAGTAATTAGAAGTAGAAGAACTTTATATAACTACAAGAAAACATAGCATATTCTGATGACCATTCCCGAAGAAAAAACGTAGTCGAAAATTTTCCGACGAGTTTCCGACCACATTCCAAAGAATCTTCAGATTGGAAATTCGTCGGAAAGATATGGTCATTTCCGACGACAACAAATTAGTCGGAAATGCATCGAAAAAATCGGTATGATTTAATCATCATATATATAGTTCCTTAATTTTGTCTTGTTTGTGTTAATTAGTTCCCTAAACTTGAGGAGGGGATTTTGTGGATGAATCCTACTTAGTCAAACTCACATGTATTAAAAAAAAAACATGTAAAACAATCTTGTTGCAAGATATCCGCAACAAAATTGAGATAAAACAAGATAATAATTTCCATAAAATCAAACACGATATCTGATATTTGATATTGAATTGAAATGAAAAGGGCATGCTTTGTGTTTGGTTAGTTCATGTTTTTATACATAGCAAGATCTTAAAACCAAAAAACCATTGCCAAAACAAAGAAAATAACCAAAAACGAAAAACTAAATAAAATAAAAGAAACAATAGAAACAATAAAAGATATGAATATTTGTCTCAACAATCAAAATCATAAGATTTGGTGGAGAGAGATATTAAACAATGAAAGTGAGTGTGGAGATAATAACGGGGACGTTTATTGATGCGGACGTGAGTGAAGATACGACGGTCAAAGAACTGAAGGAGAAGATCGCGGCGGAGGTGAAATCACCGGTGACTCGTTTGATACTTGTCATCGGAGATGAAGAGACGAGAAGGATGGTGATGGAGGATGAAGATGACATGATGCTGAGAGATTTAGGAGTGGGAGAAGATTCTCATATGTATTTGTTCTTTAAGCATCCTGATTTGGTTTCTGAGGAAGAGGAATCTAAAGGAGGAGGAGAAGATGATGATGATCCTATGGAGGAGGTTTCGTCGGAAGCAGAGAGTCCAAGAGGAAACGAAGAAGAAGACGAAAAGCCAAAAATAGACGGGGAAGAGAAGGATCAAGCGATGAAGGATGAAGAAGAAGATAGCGATGAGAAAGTTGAAGAAGATGAAGAAGCGAAGCAGAATGAGAAGGATGGTGAAGCAAAGGATAATGGTGATGATGATGTCAAAGAGGAACCAAGAGAGGGTGAAGAAGGAGATAATAAAGAGGAAATCTAGGGTTTCTTGATTTGATATGAGATTTGTTTTAACAATTCCATTTTTATTGTTTTGCATTTGTGATTATCTTGTTATATTGTTTCTTGGTATACAAGTAAACAACTAAACATTGTTTTAGGTGTCTTACCAGCATAATAAAAAATTGATTTTGTTCTGTTTAGTTTCTTTTGTTTATTCTCCGTCTTCTCTGTAGAAAAAACAGATCAAAAGTTTCTCTATGGGACAGTGGTTGGTTCTCAAATCTAGTTGGCCATTTCAGGCTAGAGAATCCAGTTAACCGGAAAATTCGACTGGTCAAAAGATGAAGATAATACATTACCAAACATTACATTAGTAAAGCTCTTAATAGAGTTTAAATATCCGGCGACTTTCTTGTATACCTAAAACATCGATGGTAACATCTTGAAGTTGTAGAGTCCACCTACTCGCTAGTCGCACTATTTAAAACTCATTCATTTGTTAATAAATTAAAAAAATTTATTATCTATATTCATTAATGAAAAACTATTTACATTCTAGATAATACATTACGAAACATTATAATCGTAAAGTTTTTAATCGAGTTTTAAATATCAGATAACTTTCTTGAAGACTTAAAATATTGATTGTAACATCTTAAAAGTTGTAGGGTCCATTTACCCCGCTAGTCGCACTATTTAAAACTCATTTTTGTTAATAAATTAAAAACATGATTATCTACATTTTTAACGAAAAAGAGATTTATATTCAAGATAGTACATTACCATACATTAACGTTAATAAAAAATTTAATCGAGTTTTAAATATTCGACGATTTGCTCGTTCCAAAAAATCGATGGTAACATCTTAAAAGTGTAGGGTTCACCTACTCTGCTAGTCGCACTATCATTTATTTGTTAACTAATTGAAAATATTACTATAATCATTAACGAGACTCTTATCTATATGGGAGGAATTTCAAAAATGCTCATTCAACAAGAGATTAGATTAGTAAATGTTTAATTGAACAAATCAAATGTAAGTTGTAGGGACCACTCACTCCGCTAGTCGTAATATCAGTTAATTATAACTAGGTATGACCAGCCCCGGCTCAGATGGGTAGGGCGGAAGTGCGACGGCCCGGGGCTTTTTTTTTTATAAAAAAATTTACATATAAAAAAGGCCCAAATATTTTTTAAAAATATTATTAATATGAGAATTATATTTTAAGAGGCCTAATTATTTATAAGAAAATGTATAAAAAGGCCCGAAATTTTTAAAATAACAATTTTTACTATAAAAACTCCGCAAAATTTTTAAAAATTAAGTAAATTTTCTTTTTGTATATAATAATAGGCCAAAAAAATTTTTTTTGCCCTAAGGCTCTCAAATATATTGAGCCGGGGCTGGGTATGACACGGGTAAATTTTAGGATATATAACGATTTTAAAATAAAACATCGAATTCTGAAATGTCAACACTTAATTTTTTAGCAATAAAATATCGAAAACACTAACAAAAATTACTAACATCAACTACTACACTACATATTTTTGTTTAACAATATTAAAATAATATATATTCCATCAATGTTTAAGAATGCATAATCCAATTAAGCACTATATGCGTTATTAAGAGGGACTTATTCGAATAAGAAGCTCAAAATCTCAGTAACCTTCACGACTAATAGACCCTTTAAACACAAAAAGAGTGTCACAATTTTCAACACCATGCCACCGAAGACTACAATTCTCTCGCATAATCCGTTGCTTGTGTACGAATATATACTCGTCTCGTGGCAACGTCTTGTTAGCTTGTAACCCTTCTCTCATCTCCGAGATGGTGCAAGTGTCCTTAATCTCCACAGGAATCCTCGCACCGTTGAATAAACTCGATGACGTCTGCACCAAGAAACAGAGTTTCCTCACCGGAGCAACGTCTTTGGCTCGGTTGATCGACTTGAGAAACACCACAATCTCTGAGAATTCACTGATTCCATATTCGTTTAGGTTTCGATAATCATCAGCTAGCTCAATCCCGGAATAGTATAACTGCATTCGCTTTATCGGTGTGTTCTCCACAATGTGAATCTTGTCCTTCAAGCTACTTACCTGCAAAACATTAGTACCTTTTTAATCAAGAAAACTCAAAAACTGTAAATGAGAGGTAAACATGTTGCTATTACCGTTTCGGTTCTGTCTACTTCAACGGTGAACTGTTTTGAAGGGAACTTGACGGTGACGTGGATTTTTCTAATGGCCGGGTTGATAAAAGACGGTGCGGTGAAAAGGGGAGTCACGGTGAGGTCGATTCTGGTGCCGTGAGAGATGATTGGGTAATCTTCGATGTCAAGACCGTCGATGAGTTCCCAACAAGAGACAAAGAGAGTTAAAGAAGATGCTGGGATCTGAAGAAACTGTCCTAAACGTTTCTTGACCTCCAACACAGATTCTTGTTCGCTGATTTCCATGGTGAATTCTTGTGTGTATGAAACAATTGTCACTATCATATTATCAGAGAGTAAAAAATGTATGTTATGGAGAAAAGGGACTAGGGTTCCACAATGCGTAATGTCTAATATATAATAAACACACATATATATACAGTGGAGAATGCAAGTTGTTGAAATGCATAAGTTATTCATGATAATATTCTGATGGTTAGTTGGGTCTTGTTTCTGTGTGTGTGTCTGTTATAACTTATAGAACTATGGTTCTCGTCGTGATTGTAACTGAATTTGGCATGATATTCGATTGTGTAGTTTAGCATTTATAGCGAAAAATAATGGAAAATGAAAATAAAATAATTGATATAGCTGTAAAGTCAAAAACTTAAGGTTGGATACATGGAATAAAAATGATTCAAAGCAATTCGAGATGGTTTTTAAAAAAAAATGGAATTAGTAGTTGAGTTGAAACATAATAGTTCTTACGAAATTATTCATCCTAAAACCAAAAATAAATAAGATCATGACAGCATAAGTTTGTAACGGTTATTGAAGTTTATGTCATCATCTGTTATATCGCCTACGCTTTATTCTCCTCATGAGAAACTCACTCCACCTTGAGATTAATTTACTTAGCAAGATACATGCCGGAAACTATGGCTGTCCCGGCGACTACAACCACCAGATATTTCAGAATATTCTTTACAGTAAAAATCGATTCATTTGTCGGTAACTCCAATAGTTCCTTTATCTGCAATACCATTACCACAATAATGGTGACCAAATTAGTTCTGTTTATTGTGTTGTTTTTAACCAAATGTGTATAATGAGGTTACTAACGTTTATAGGTTGGTTCCAATTCTTCTTGATCCCTTGAAGATGCCCTCTACCGACAACTGCCACGACTGAACTATGCTCACTTGCAAGTCTCAACAATAGATATGCCATGTACCTGAGATATAATGCAAATAGATCAGACAAAAATCTGGATACCAAACTGTTGACCTCTCGATGTTTTATGATTAGCTAATTAAGAGCTTAAAGGAAAGAAGAGCTTGAAAGCCAAATTTGATACAACTATTACTGATAATACAAGTTCACTTTTCTAAGCAAAGAGGAAGTGGTCGATTAATCTTATAAACTCTATATTAGAGAAGATTAAAGTACTAACTTATCTCGCTCATGCACAAGTGTCTCCATGAGAGATGGAAATTCCTTGCTCATTTCTTGAATCATCATTGTCAGCATATCAGCATCGCTCATGTCTTTCAGCTAAAGCCATCCAATTTTATCATCACTCAATATTTACTCTGACTGAATCACAAAAATGGGACAAAAAAAAGGAAGAACAGATTTTTACCATCTTCTCAAGTTCCTTGGGCTTCGGCAGAAAGACAGCTTGAGACACTATGCTGTACACTAGTTTTATTTTGTGCCATAGAGGCATTTTACCCCATGTTCTCTGTAGCGTGATCTGCTTCGACAAATATGAAAGAAACTGAATACTCACTAAACACAATTTAAAAACAGAGATGCAATTCATAACATTCCTATAATAAAGGTTTGAACTATGAACACCAAAGTCACCTGTACTGGACGATCGCCAGGAAACACTGCACCACCATATTTGTTTGCCTCTTCAAATGCCACACGAAATTCAGCACCAGGAAAAACCTCAAGCTTCTTGGCGGCCTACACATAAGAAAATGATGTAAATTATTAGTCTGGAAATTTAAGCTACCATCAAAGTAGATCTGGACCACGGAAGCATGCCTTTGCAAGAATATATCCGTGAAGTATTTCAAATAGATTGTGGTTCTTCTTCCACACTGTCTATCATTTCCATCAAAGTTGTGTCCCTCGGGGGAAACCACAACATGGCATCTTTCAAGAATAAACAAAAAAAATGGATAGAAGAGATAGATTCATTATAAGTTATGTCTGTAGAGTCTACAGTGTAGACGACCATAAACTGCTAAGAAATAAACTGAATTGGACATGTTTTAAGAATTATGTAGAAGAAACCTTCAGAGTCTGAGGTGTGAGAATAGACAATCGACTTGTACACAACTCCACAAAGACAGCCTGCAAGCATCAGCCAAGTATTGAGTAAAATAACACATGAGGATATAACACTTTAGTCCTCAATGAACTGTTAGGAGCAGAACCTGCGGTTTCAAGGATCTGATTACAGTTTCAACTTCTCGACATGATTCCTACAAAGCAAATGAAAATATGAAAAAACAAGTTTATGAATGCTAATATATTATAGTCCAATCAAGGGGAAAAAAGTGGATTGACATGTTTCCATCCTATACTAAAGTCTAGGGAAAGAATTTCAAACAAGGAGGCTGTGACAGATGGAAAATGAAGACAGAGGTCTGATCCTATGGATTCTGCAACCGAAGCTGAAACCGTGAAACAAATCTCAAGTATCTAAACCCTATCTTCCTTAATTTCACAATGTTCCTGCTGCATTGCCATTTTCTGTAACTCAATTGACATAAACCGGCAAACACTATACCCCTAATGCACAATGGCTACCTAATCTTTGATGAATTTCTTCATTTTCAAAATCCTTCATCACTATCCAACATTTCAACAAATCAAAAAATCCAGTCACCAATTTTCAAAATTCCTGATTATGGAAAAACGAGGATACCTGTGATACATGAGCAGTGCCAACCAAGTAAACATCACAAGATCCACCTTCAACTGTGGACTCACACGTTAGAACCATAACGCTTTTCGCAAATTCCTCAGGCAGCTCCAACTTCTCCGTCCTCGTCTCAAACGCACACTCAACATAATCCGCTACACCACAGATATCATCATCACCACTTTCACCGATCGAATCGTCACCAGTAATCACTGAACTAGCGTTGCTATCTACTTCCTCCCTGAGAAGCTCCTCCTTCTCCACATTCACTATGCTTTCGCTTAACAAAAAATCTCTGGAAGGTTTTGGGTCATCGATGTGGACAAATTCCTCTCCAGATTGAACCTCCGGCTTCAGCTCCATTTCACGATAGTGATCGAGGAGGAGTGAGTGGCGGAATTGGTAAATTCGAAGATTCTAACGGACGGCGAATGTAGTGTGGAACGGGAGGGAGAGAGAGAGAGAGAGAGAGAGAGAGAGAGAGAGAGAGAGAGAGAGAGAGAGAGAAACGTTACGAGCTAAGCCAAAGGTATAACAATGGCACTATGGCAGAATCGTCTGATCGTCGACGGAGGTAACGCTTATTTTTATTTAATTAATTTAAAATGGTGAAAAAGGAACGAAATAAATCAAATATTAATTGTATATTTCAAAAGTTTCTTAATAATTAAAATCTCTTTGATTCTGCTACTAATTATGGCTGTAATTTACCAACTTTCTTTAAATGAATAGAGAAAATCTACCTAGGTGTTATAAATACAAATTAACTAAAAAAAAAGAGGATAATTAATTAAAATATTGTTGTACTTGGAATGAGATTTTAATCATTCACTAGGCAAGAACCCAATCTCTCATTTTGGGTCAAAGTTTTCATTAAGGTGCCAGAATTCAAAGAATATTTTGAGGTTTATGGGTCAAAGTCTACACAAGAAGAAGCAGTATCATCATATCCAAATATTTGGTATGCAAATTCACGAACTTACCTTAATTGGACGGATATCAGTCAAAAATTTTTGAAGAGATTTTATTTACCCCTTTTATCATTTTAGTCAATCTATTTTGACGAATCTTACTTTACCAAAAAAAAAAGAAAAGCACTAAATATTTCTCCTCCTTACCAGTCAAAAGGAAAATTAACTGCCAAATTAAAATAAGTTAAAATTTTAAATAATGGAAAAAAAATAGTGAAAGTAGAAAAATAAACCATCCGGTTCAATTTTTTTGTAATTCATTAATTCAGTTCTGGTTTATCAAAATAAGAGCTCATTCGGTTATCGTTTTGGATTTTTTGGTAGCAATGAATACCTTTGTGTTAGGAGCAGCTAAGAATGTGAGGATGTTGTTGCCAGAAACATTGGTCGATAATGTTAGAGTAGTCTACAACCACTTCTGCTTCCACTTGCTTTCCTGAAACTTCTCCATTCTCCTCTGCAACACCTTCCTGCGTCTAAATGTAAAAATTAATTCACACCACTTGTTTAATTCACAAGAATACCTCAAAACTGACAAAAGAGAGAAGGACCCTTCTTTTCTTCACTATAATAAGAAACTGCTATGAAAGTAGATTTGAAATTAAGTTATACTGATTATTGATGATATAAGTAGCACCTTTAGGCGGAAAACGGAAGACCCCAGGCGGAAGATTACAGGTAATGAATTGTACTCAATTCCAAATTGCTGGATAAGTAACTCGTTTTTTTCTCGTGTTTGGGTACCCTGAAACAGAGCCAAATGTAAGTGACAAGCCATTTAGTCAATGAACTAAGAGCGAGCATTGGCTATTCGAGAAAGACATAACAAAGCACCTTTAAGTAATCTTGGGCTTGAGTTTTGCTTTTTCCAGACTTAACAAGCATCCAAAAACATGTATTGTACTGATTATTGATGTGGCCTGCAAGACAAAACAAAGTTGTTAAACAGGAGCATCCAACTCAAACTACGAGACTATTTGATATCAAGTAACTATCTCACAAGACAAGTGAACCATTTATAAGACAACAATACTCACAGTCGACTTGTCTCCAAGCTAGATAATCCAGGAGAATATCTGATGTTGGATAGCAAACAGCTCGTCCATCGAATGATGGAGGGTACTTCAAATTTTTGTGAGGGAAGAAATCTCCCCATCTCATCACGTACGTCGATGTGAAGAAGGATACAATTGCAGATATTATCTTACTGTAACAAGATATTTGAAATTAAGTTATAAACAGTGCAAAAGAATAAGAAAAACCCTAGGAAACACGAATACATTTATCCTGCAACAAGAAAACTTAAGGGCATAGAAAATTAGTTTGACCTGGACTGTCTTTTGTAAAGCTCAGATTTATTCTTAAGAACAAAGCTGCAAACCAAAGGTGAAGTCGGTTAATATCTAGAAATGTAAAGTTGATAAAGGGACTGAGAGTTACACACCTGTACTCATCACTAACGCCGTAGGCAAAGGCAATATCCTGAAACTCTTCAAGAACAGCCACTGCACATGAATTCATAAGTTTCAGAGCTTGCTCATCATTTGGCTTCTCAAATTCATGAACTTCAGAAAATCTATCAAAATCCAAGCAAGCTCTATGAGTTTCACTTACAACAGAACAATAGTAATCATTCAAGCAATAGGAAGGCGTTTGTTTTCCAAAGCTGTCAACTACTGTTCTTATATTTTTATAAGTTCCAAAAATTCTACTTCGCTGTTGCCATTGCCTAATAAATAACAATCTAAAGCACTACACATAAGCAACGCAATGTAAGAAACAGGCCGACCATAGCAGTCGGAAGTGTATAAACTCGTAATATAACATTATAGCTGATATAAATCCTAGCAAACATATATTTTTTAACAAGTCTAAGGCTTCCATGCAAGACACATTTCTAACAATAATAATAGACAAAGACTAAAAAGCATATTACCTGTGGAAATGGCAGCCATCAATCCTAACCACAACCCATGTTAAAGGTAATAATCTACTCTCAAACTGAAACGACTTAACATAATCTGGTTCAATTTTGCCAATGTCTTTTGCAAAATGTCCAAGATCTTTATGAAGAGACGAGTGCTCATTCCAAAAGCTTCTTCCAGCAATATTTTCTGAATGCACTAAAGTTTCTCTTCTCCTCAATCGTTTTACAGGATTTCCATTCTCATCATGCTTTACAGTTTCTTCCACCTGAATAAATTCAACAAAAGTATCACGTCTGACCATATAGAGACAAGAGAACATCTGACTTTTACAATTTTAACTAATTAAATTGATTTTGTAACCTGAATATGCAAGATGTAGCGACACAAGACTAAATAAATTTACAATATTTCAGGCATCTGGAATTTACAATGCAAAAACATACATGCACACCAATTAAATCACTAACCAAAAAGAACTTATTGATCCTCATAAAGAGTCAACTTACCAATTGAAAGCTCTAAATGTTTACATACATGCAACAAATCTCAAAGCAAGCATATGAAGGCTATAAATAAAAGCATGAAATAATGAAAAAGACCACCTTTGTCTTAAAAAGGCATGATCCTTGGCGAAACAATACAGGAAGCATTTTATAATTAATACCAAATTGCTGGAAAAGAAGCTCATTTCTCTGTTGTTTCTGTGTATCCTGCAGTTATCAATAGGAAGTAGTGTGATTATACAATAAAATATGATTACAAGGTATGAAACCACGTGAAGGTAAAATAAAGTCTAGTCATAGTGTTAAATATTTTCCCATGGAAAAATCAATGTAGCTTGTCATTGTCACGAAAAAAAAAGCATAGACAACACACCTTCAAAATCTCCTGTGTTTCACTTAAGGTCTTTCCACTTTTTACTAACATCCAAAAACATGTGTCATACTGATTACTGATGTGGCCTGCAACCAAAACAATGGAAGTTGTAAGAAGATCTAGATGGAAACGCGAATAAGTATTAATAGTATCCAGAATGCAGATTATCATGAATTTGTTAAAGGAAAATTTCATAGAACATATATAGATGTTAGAAGGTCTTACAGTCATGTTGTCTCCACGCAAGGTAAGCTTGAAGAACCTCTACTGATGCGCAACTTACAGCTTTTGAAGCGAATGAAGGGGCATATTCTAATTTTCTATGAGGAAAGAACTCTTTCCATTTCGTTACATAGACCGCAGCAAAAAATGAGGCTACCAAAGATAAAACCTTACTGCATATGAAACAGCATAAAAGTTAAAGTAGATGTCAAAATTCAAATCATAGAGAAGAAAACTAAATACAACTCGAGATATCTCCCAAATCCTGAAATACCTGGCTCGTCTCTGGTAGAATCTTGATGTTTTCTTGAATACAAAGCTACATGATATATGAAAACAATAAAGTCTTGTCACAGGTACAAGTCAAAACTAAAACAACTAATCCAAGTGACTATGGTACCTGTACTCGTCACTATATCCATATGCAAAGACTATATCAGGATACTCTTCCAAAACCGCCGATGCACATGAATTCATCAAATTTAGAGCCGTCTCATCATTAGGCTTCTCAAACTTGTGAACTTGGGAAAATCTACAGTTATGATAAGGCAAAAGGATAGTAAGAAACACAAGGAAAGCATTGTCAATCTACAAACACACACATATAGATAGATTCATGAGAACAAATCCTTATCCAATGTTCAAGTTCCAATAAATTCAAAGTAAGTTCCCAAAACAACCTATCAGACTCTATACTCTTCTCGTTCACAATCTACACACCATCACTTGTTGGGTGCGAAGAAATTTACCTCGAAAAATCACGGCCATGGATACGGATAATTATCAGATTGGGAAACATAACTTCGTCTTCCACTTCGAATGACTTCACATACTCGTACTTACTATTCGCCATATTTTCCCGAACAATCGACTTCCTTCGTTTTTTCTTTGATTCTACAATCAATCGGAACAAAAAAAAAACACAGTGAAAACTCAAGACTAAAAAAAAAAGCACAGTGTCGATAGAGTAGAGGTTATGGAGACTACATTTGAAAATTCGCGGCGGATGTGTTGGCGGCGACAGCGGCGGAGGGTGAGGGTTGATAATTAGAGTGTTTTTGTGTCCATCTTGTTAATTTGGGGAGAAATGGAAAAGTCGAAAATAGAAGAAATCAAAGTTCCGGGTTACACTAAAAATAAATGGAGAAATTGAGGGGTTATTTCACAAATTTAGTTATTTAAGTAAATAAGTTATATGTTCCGTGACATTGAAGGTACCATCTGAGACAAAAAGCTTGTCAGCCATAATTTACGAATTTATCACCAAGGTTTCGAAAGTACAAGTAGAAGAAGTTAGACATATACTATAGACATTTGGTCCTAATTTCGGAGGAGAAGTAAAAAATCTAGAACACTCATTGTTGAGCTGGGGGATCATTGCCGATTTCGTCATCCTCTTTCACAAATTTACCTCTTCTTCGTTTTTTCTTCACAGCTGCGTTTGATCGACTTTCATATCGGTGTAGCTTCATGAATCTGCAACAATCCTCAATAATAAGAAGATGAAATCCCCTAACTAGAAAGCTAAACGAAACACTTACTTGCGGCGGCTCTTCTTCTCAAAATATCTCTGTTTTGCTTCCTCTCTGTCTTGACTTCTATCTATGGTCAATGGATGATGTAGATATGGTGGTACAACTGAGTTCACTTGTTCATGTTGGTTTGCTGATGATGATGATGATGATACCTAATGACAAGTGTGATTATATATATCAAACTGTAAGTTTATTGCAAATTTCAGAGGAATACCGAATGTGGATACCACGTCCATGTTTGATATTACGTCTGTAGAAGGGGAAGCTCCAGGGTCAAAAGAGCCTATGTTCAACTGATTTTGATGCCACATAGGTAGATTTGCGCTGAATTGTTGTTGACTAGAATCAGCAGCAACTGAAGAACCACCACTAGGCTCATTGAAACCGATATTAAGAGGTGGCAGTGTGAATAAAGTCTGCAATAACTGGTCCACGTTCATGGAGGCCAATAAAGAATTTACAC